CATAAAACACATAAGTGATTAAGTTATAATTGGAGAGAAGCTAACTTGTCAGAAATTAAGTTAAATTTTTTAAGTTAACTGAAATTAGTGGTGTAGCCAGGATTATCCTCGGGATTATCCAAAAGGAGGGGGATTATTTTTTTGCACATCACTAAAATCGTTTAACTGTTTAGATTTGTCATAGAATGTATGTTTTTGTGGTACCAGTGCCTAATGTGAATTAATATATTATCACTGCGACACTGCATTATACCACAAATATATATAATAAACTAGATTGCTAACTGGCCTATACAGCCTATGTATTTAATTGAAGCCAACAATCCATGTCATTTTAATCGAGGCCTAAACACCATATTACTTATTATTTATATTGATAATAATATTTTCTTACAATCAATATTAAAAATAATTCTGTAGGTAGTTCACAATTAATTATAATTATATCAAGTAATTAATATACTTTTAAATATTTTTAGTTTTACATTAAATAAAAAAAATAGACTATCTTCAGTTTTTATAACATTAATCAAAAAATCACATACTTAAGTATTAAAAATTTATTGTCACGAGTGTATAACATTATAAAAATAATTAGGTATGGCTATTATAGACTAAAGTAAACTATTTTTAGTACATTCACAAAAATGTATTCAATCTAGGAAATGTAATACTTACAGTAGAATAAATTACTTAATAACGATATGTCAATATTAAAAAACGCATCATAAAATAAACTTATTAAAATATGCTGACAGACTGTTTTTACACAGAATGGTTATTGTATTCAGTGAGTTTTTCATTGATATCATATTTCATCATACTTTCTCTCTTTTGTTATAGTTGATTTACCAAACTATTTAGAATAGTAATAACATATTTTCATTTTAACTCTCCAAATTACTAACTGGATTCAGTTTCCTACTAAAAAAGTTTAAAATCTTAGAATTTTCAGTGATACGAGAGATGATGATAATTACAAAAAAAAACCCATGGTAATAATATCAATACATTCTCCACTTCACTACTTGGGTTTCTAAAATGTGTGACTCAAGTTAAGTATATAAGAAATACATACACTACCTAGTACCTACAATCACTGTTATTATCAAAGTGTATTAGGTTAAAACTACTAAAATTCATTAGGAACTAAAACTAGAGAAACTTGTCGATCATCAAAACAATATTGTGCCTAGACTATATACTGTGACAATGGGTATTTTAACAAATATTATAACCATCGAAGAATATTCTGTATTAYAACTTACCAGTTAGTAGTTACCAATAAAAAATCATCGAATAATTATATTATTTATGGAAAACATCGTAACTCCATGGTGTTAACAATTGAATATGTCAACTTATAGGTATTCAATGAGTATTTTTTAGCGTTTCTTCTCGATGACTTAAGCCGCGGTCGCACCACAGATATATAAAAATATATATTTTATAACACTGATCTTCAATTGCTTATCATYAATAATATAAAACATAAACATTCACCTCTTAGATAAGGATGGCGGCCATTTTACTGGCGACAATAATAATATCGAATTTGGCTATCTAGTATTTTTATTTATATATCTGTGGTTCTATCACAGTCCACAGAATAACCAGAATGGACACTCGCTGACTGGACGCTGAGCACTCAAAAATCGGGAACATACTATTCAATTTGGTGGAATATCAGTGTATCGGGTATCCATCTATATTGCAATTTACGACTTTATTACTTATTAGCACGATTAAAGATAATATGGTTGCACAACGAAGCATAATAAAGTGACTCTTCGAGTTTCCTTGTTATCACAACAAGTAGAACCGAGAACTGGCGCTCCAAACGTTAAAATATTGAATCACAAATTTGAATAATTTTAATTGATAATATTATACTACCTTTCATCATATTATCTTCAT